TGTCACTTACCTGTAAGGCGAGATTGCGGAGTCCGGTGGAGAAGGAAGACAGCGGCCATAGCCGCAGAGCTGTAACACAGAGTACCGGAGGAGAGAGAAAGGGAGGACAGAGGAGGGACTGAGGAGAGAGAAGAAGAAGTGTGGAAGGAGGAGAACGAAGAAGAAGACAGACATAGCCGGTGGTGTGTATAAAAATAAAAATAAAAAAATACAGCGAAAGTGAAGAGAAAGAAAGTGAAGGAAGGGGGGAAGTAGACGGCAAGGGTGACGAAGGTGAAGGTGCCGGCAGCCATAGCCGAGGTGAGGAGTTGACCGGGCGTTGACCAGACCGTTGACCAGAGGGTTGACCGAGGGTTGACCAGAGGGTTGACCAGGCGTTGACCAGGGGTGTTGACCAAGCGCTGACAGGGGTTGACCGTGTTGACTCGGCGTTGACCAAGGCGTTGACCGGAGCTGCTGCCCAAGATTTTGACCAAGCTGGAGTTGGTGATATCTCGTTGACCCTTCAGCCTATCCCCTTACCTAGTGGATGTGCACTTACCCCACGGTACTTGCTGAGTTGTTTGTCTACTCTTTCTGCATTGAGTCTCTTCTGTCTTAGGTGCTAGGACTCTGTGGATGAAGGATAGGGCCTTGCTGCCAAACCTGCACGGGCTTAGTAGGACCWAAGCTCTACTCTGRCACTTGGAGACCTGGGCATGAGCGGCGAGCGCTCGTTAAACAACTCGTCTAGCCCAATGACCGGTACTGTCCGGCAGGTCTACTGAGTTCAGTGTGGAGGGTCTGAACTCCGAGCTGTAGGGTGAAACGAAGGCCGTCTTTAAGTGTTGAGGCCTGGTTGAGCCACTCCCCTACCGGACCTAGTAAGGCTGATGATCCGTGTCTGACGACTCGGCTGTCCCGAGGGATACGAACCCCTCCAAGGACCGGTACAAACCGGCGGGCTGCTCGGTGTGGCACAGTAGGCCGGAACGGCTGAGTTGTGGGCTGAAATCGCCAGAGGAACCAAGCTGATCACGTCGTCCTGTCTGCGACGTTAAAGAATTCTTGCGGAGTTTGGGGGATCTCCTTAAATGCCTCCTGATCAGCTCTTGGTTCTGTAGTGACAGCCTTAGAGTAGTCTTGGGTTAGTAGTGGCCATAGTTGACAGGGTCTTATCCTCTGGTCCTTAGGAAGTCAGTCAGTAGGTTAGTGTGCCCGGGTAGGGCTACGTGGTGAGGAGTGGGACCCTTGTCGTGCACCAACACCACGATGGATGACTACCCGGTGTATGGGTTGCTGGTTGGGTTCTCCCTCTGGGGGACCCTCTGGCGTCTCCTCTTTCCTCTGGGATTTTGGCATACCTTTGCGTGTAGAGTAGGRCCCACTCGAGGTGGTACCGCCACCCAACCATACACGARGGAGGAGGAGGAGAAGATGGCCGCCATCCTGCAGGAGAGGAAGGAGAAGAAGGAGGCCAAGAAGAAGGCCTTGAAAGAAGAACAGGCGGCCAAATTGAAGAAGATGGAGGAAGAAATGGCCAGGGAGAAGGAGAGGCTGATAAAGGAAGAAGAGGAGAAGCTGAAGGAGGTGGATGAAGACGAGGAGGGACCACCACTGCAAAGGAGTGGGCAGCACAGCGGCCGCAACAGTGATGAGATGGAGAAGAAGATTTCGGAGTGGGTCGCCAACTTATCCCTGGGTGAGGAGGAAGAGGTTGCTATGTACATCCCCAAGGATGAGCAAGAAGCCGCCATGAAGAAATGGGAAGTAGAAGAAGATGTTCTGACGCGGCGGGCGATGGAGGATGAACAGAGGATGGCGTGGAAGCGCAGTGATGAGGGAGAAGAAGTGAAGAGTGGAGGCGGCGAATGCAGCAATGCAAGAACTAGCGGAGGTGAGGACTGCTTTAACAACACAATTGACTCCGCAAGTAGATCTCCAACGCAAAGTGGAGATCATCGCCCAGAGCGTTGACCGGTTAGCTAAAGTGCAAGAAAAACACTATGAGTTTAGTCGCAGCCAGGAGATATCCGTGCGTTCGATGCGAACGGGATTACGGGATTTTTCTCGCGAACTAGTAGGCGCTGTGGGATCCGAGGTGAGTCATTGCCTCGAGAAGACTGAGCATATTTGTGTCGGCGCCATCGAAGGCGTCAAGGTGGCCGCTCCCAAGGAGGAGGAGGCCCGTCCGCGCAGGGAGCCAGTCAAAGTCAAATTCCCTGATTCCTACAGTGGGAAAAGGGAAGAGAACTTTGACAATTGGGAGGCCAATGTTAAGACCTATGTGCATTTGCAAGAGGTCTCCCCGGATCAGCAGGTCTTAATTGCGATCCATGCACTCAGAGACGAGGCCGCCAGTTTCGCGAGATCCCTTGTTCGTGTTGCCAACTGTAGTGACGATCCAGTTGCGTACTCCTCGTTTACGTCCCTCATTGAATTCTTGAAGCTTCTGCGCGAGCGATTCGCTGATGTTGCCCGTAGTGTCAAAGCCTCAGATAGGCTTCAGACAATACACTCGCGCCAATGGAAGAGTTGGTGGTTGTTCCTGACCACAAGGTCACGGAAACCCAGTTGGTCAACCTTTTCTACCAGGCTATGCCCGAAACGCTGCGTGGTCACTTCTTTGACAAGAGTCAGGACCCTGCTATGACTTATGATATACTTAGCAGGGAAGTGGTCGCGTTCGAGGCGAAGTCTGCGTCGATTTCCACCTTTTGGCACAAAGATTTAGACAAGGGCAAAAAGTGGAAGGGCCGCACTATCTCAGGGCAAGTCAAGACCAAGGATAACCTTGTGCTCACTTTAGATGAGGGTAGTGTGGACGCGATCCCCTACGACCAGATTGAGTGGGGGTTCGAGGAGGAGGACAGTAGTGTGGGCCAGGGGAGGACTTGAGCTGCTATCGCGGCTGGAGGGAGGCCGCAAGGAGGACGAGGCCAAGGCCAAGGGGGCCGGGCCTCCGGGAGCCGGTTCCAGGGCGATCAGGGGGTTGGCGGCAGAGGAGGGAACCGCCAAGCGGGAGGCAAGGGTCAAGGTCCCCCGCAAAACCGTCCTAGGAACAGGTCTCCCTATAGAGTAGGAGGATGGCACCCACCTAAGGGTAGGCCGTGGGAATCTTTGGGTCTGGACCAGGCTTTATGGCAACAACGATTGAACCGGGGCCAGTGCATTTTCTGCAGTGACCAGGGGCATATCATCAAATATTGTCCTAAGTATCGAGAGACCCGAACGGCTGCTCAAGAGCCAAAAGGCAGCCGCCGGTAGGGGTAGCAACTGCCCCTACCACTAGGCCATGTGGGGAAAATAGCGCTAGCCGGCAGGAGACTCCCACACCACATGTGCCTACGGCAGAGGTTGCAGGCCGGTGTCTAGACAGTTGTCCCGAGACTGCTTGTGTTAGAGTTTCGGTAGACACCTCCCTCACAGGCGTGGCGGAAGAGTTGAAGGAGAGGAGGCCCGCCTGGGTCAAGATGAAGATGGAGAATAAAGGGCAGCTGATTTTATTAGATGCAGAGATTTTTAGAAGTAGAGTAGGGGCCCTAGTAGACTCAGGGGCCACCCGCAGCTATATTAGTAAGCAAGCGCTGCAGAAGTTGAGGCTGGGACTTAAGGTCCAGAAACTCACAGACCCCATAGTTAGTATCCTCGCGGACAATCGTACCATGGTTGTAGAGGATTACGTAGAGGGAGTTCAGGCGTATTTCCGCCTAGAGAAAGATGGGAAGGTGGAGAAGGTCCTCCACTCCCTGACTCTCCTCGTAGAGGACAGCCTCCCGTTTGATATAGTACTGGGAATGGATTGGGGAGAGACAGTCGGGGCAACGCTCCATCTGAAGGAGCACGAGTGTAGACTCCCTAGTTCTACAGGCGAGGCTAAGACTGCCCGCATGTTTCATGTGTCAGGAGTAGAGAATTCCTTGGCACATTGCTGCCTTAATGCCCCTGCGTTCGCCAGATTGGTGAAGAAGGAGAAATTAGAGGAACAGGTCTTTGTTGCCTATGTTAGGCCCGTCACTGAGCCTACGGAAGAGAAGCCGATGGACCCTGCGATTGCCAAGCTGCTGGAGGAGTTTAAGGATTTGACTGAGCCGCCGACAGGCACGGTGCCGCGACCCATCCAGCACCGTATCGAGATAGAGCCTGGCAATAGAACTCCTAAGGGTGTTGTGTATAGGATGTCCCCGCGGGAGTTAGAGGAGCTTTGCAAGCAATTAGACGAGCTCCTCGAGAAGGGTTGGATTAGGCCCAGTTCGTCTCCTTTCGGAGCGCCTGTTCTCTTTGTTCCTAAGAAAGAGGGAGAGCTGAGAATGTGCATAGAGTATAGGGGTCTGAATGCTATTACAGTAAAGAATGCTGAGCCACTACCTAGGATTGACGATCTCTTAGATCGAGTGCAGGGGGCTAAGCATTTTTCTAAGATAGACTTAAAGTCCGGATATCATCAGATAGAGGTACACCCTGATGATTAGTATAAGACAGCCTTCCGGACTACGTACGGGCATTATGAGTTTATAGTGATTCCCTTTGGACTAACCAATGCGCCAGCAACTTTTCAGCGGTGTATGAATGATTTGTTTAGGCCGTGGTTAGACAGATTCGTTGTAGTTTATCTAGATGACATCCTAGTGTTTAGCCGGACCCTCGAAGCGCATCGGGGTCATCTCAGGCAAGTCTTGGAGAAGCTGAGAGAAGCTAACTTCAAGATCAATGCAAAGAAGTGCAATTGGGCGAAGACCCAAGTTTTGTATCTAGGCCATGTCTTAGACGGAGACGGCGTTAAGCCAGAAGATAGCAAGATCGCAGCGATTAGAGATTGGCCCACGCCACGTACGTTGACAGAGTTGCGCTCGTTCCTGGGCTTAGCGAATTACTACAGGAAGTTCGTAAGGAACTTCTCCACCATCGCTGCGCCCCTTCGCAGATTGCTGAGAAAAGAGACAATCTGGAAGTGGGACAAGGACTGCACGTCCGCCATGAAGAAGCTAAAGCAGGCGTTGATAGAGTATCCGGTCCTTAAGGTCGCCGAYTCGTCCTTGCCTTTTGTTGTTACTACGGATGCTAGCCAGTACGACATAGGCGCAGTGTTACAGCAAGACGATGGCAATGGCTATAGACCCGTAGAGTTCATGTCCGYTAGGATGCCTTCAGAGAAGGTTGCGACATCTACCTATGAGAGGGAACTCTACGCTCTCAGGCAAGCATTAGACCACTGGAAGCACTACTTGCTTGGGAGGCACTTCAAAGTCTATTCGGACCATGAAACGTTACGGTGGTTAAAGACCCAGGCCAAGATGACACCTAGGCTTACTAGGTGGGCCGCAGAGATAGATCAGTACGACTTCGAGCTCAAGCCTGTCAAAGGGAAGTACAACGTAGTCGCGGATGCTCTGAGTAGGAGAGCAGATTACTTTGGGGCAATAGTACATTACCTCGATATAGGAAAGGATCTGCAGCAGAAGGTTAGAGAAGCCTACGCGCAGGAACCTATCTATAGTGATCTCCTCACGCGAGTCAAGGAGGCCCCAGAGACCGAGCCGAACTACCGCACTACTGGAGGGTTACTCTTCGAGAAGACTAATGTCTTTGACCGGTTGTGCATCCCCAATAGCGAAGAGATCCGTAGTCTGATTATGGGGGAATGTCACAACACAGAGGGTCATTTCGGTTGGCAAAAGACTTTGGCCAATCTGATGCGCGCGTATACCTGGCCAGGGATGAAGAATGACTGCGTAGAGTATGTTCGCAGTTGCAAAGTCTGCCAGCGTAATAAGAGTTCTACGCGCGCCCCGCTAGGTCTTCTCAGACCCTTGCCCATTCCGGATCAGCCAGGAGACTCAGTGTCAATAGATTTCATGGACACTCAAGTCAAGAGCAGGCATGGCAAGAGCCAAGTCATGGTCATAGTTGACCGCTTTAGCAAGTACGCAGTTTTTGTTCCTTTGCCTTCTGAGGCGCATACTGATTTAGTCATACAGAGGTTCTTTGACTGTTGGGTTAGTGAGAACGGAATCCCGCTGTCTATAGTTAGCGATAGAGATAGTCGCTTTACTAGCCAGAACTGGCAAGATGTAGCATATCAGAAAGTGAAATGCACTGACAGCCTAGGATCTAGCAATGACGAAAGTGGCAAGCAACCAGCAGCATAGGTGCAGCATTCACAAGATGTCAATGTGCACGATGCAAAGAGCAACCCAACGAGAAATCAACAACAACACATTCGTATCATTATCATCATGGGCTGTGAA